CCCCCGGCTGCACATCCCTCTCTGCCAGCTCCGAGCCGCCAAGGAGCTCAGCTCCCTCTTCCCACTTCCCTCCCAAGTCTGGAAAACTTCTTTTTTGAAGGCGAGGAGAAAATTCTGCGTGTTCAGCACCTTGGTTCAGGCTGCTTCTGGTTACACAGTCCCCAAACTCCCCGGGAAAAGAAAAGAAAAAAGAGAAAAAAAAAAAAAAAAAAAAAAGGAGAGATGCCTTTGGTTTGTTGTCATCGGTGCTGAGCCATCCCCGGGAAAGGGGCTGCCGGTTCCCGGGGGGGAAGGATTTGCCGGTGGTGCCGGTGTGCGTGGGGTAGGACGGGCAGCGTGGGTGGAAGAGGATTTAGCGAGCACGGGGGGGGCGTGGGGGGCACCTCTGTGTGACGGTGCTAATTGCATCTGGACGCGGGTGTCGGTGCCGTCAGCGTGTGAGTGTGCAGCGGGGTACGGCTGGAAGGGGTGTAACCTCTCCTTGGGTGCACACGAGTGTGAGCAGGCGGGTTTGTCGGTGCTTTGCACGGCGTGAGTGTGCCCTGTGGAGGCTGCGGGGTTTGTGGCTGTTTGGGCACACGGGTGGATGTGGGAGAGGGGATGGAGGAGATGCAGGGGATGGAGGAGATGAAGGAGATGGAGGAGATGAAGGGGATGGAGGGGATGCAGGGGATGGAGGGGATGCAGGGGATGGAGGGGATGTCACCCCTGCCCAGAGGATACCCAGCTCCCGGGGGTGCCCACCCTGGTCCTGCAAAGCCAGGGATAAACCTCTGCCTTTAAAAGCAGTGCCAGAGCGTGGCTGTGGGCTGTCACTTCTCACCCCACTGATGCTTTGCATTCTGTGCCAGATCCACACAGCCCCACCAGCTCCCGGCTCCGGTGCCCGGGTCGGTGCCTGACACCCCCTTTCTTTGCTCACCCACCTGGGGAGCCTGCGCCTCACCATCTCCAAAGGGGTTGGGTGCCTGCCTGGGCTCTGCAGAGAGCAACCTGGCTTTTCCTCCCTAGTTCAGGCATATTTGGCCACGGGTGCAGGTGCCCAGTGGAGTGACAGGAGGGTCCCCCACACAGAAGTTGGCCCAGGAGTGTGGGGGAGCCCTGACAGCTCCCATCCAGACCCCCCCAAGCCCTGATTGTCCCCCACGGCTCTGCCCACACACCTGCATCCCAGCTGCATCCCTGCTACCAACCCCTTTCTCCCCGGGGGAGTTCTCCTTTGGTTTCCTGCTGCCCCCCATCTGCTAACACCCCCCTGGCCCCCCTACCAGCCCCTTCCAGCAGTGCCAAGCCCTGGGCAACCTCCTCAGCCAGGGCTGCCCCACCAGAGCAGTGTGGAGGGGGGTTTCTCTCCCTCTCTCCTCTATTCACAAGTGAGCTGAGGCCTGTCAACTCCTTACACGTGTGGCTTCCTGTGCTCACCACAGAAGGACCAACACCTGATCTGTTTTTCCGAGCAGGCCTGCGTTTCTCAGGAGTTACTGTGACTCCAAATTCCTCCCGAGAGCTTGTTTTCCTCTCTGAAGGCTGCGGCAAGTGGAATACGAGCAGGAAAGAAAAAAAAAATAGTCCTTGCTCGT